CATGTTATACATGGTTGAAGAGCATATTTAAAGGGGAATTTAAAAATGCAGAAATTCAATATGGCACCCATAAGAAAAACAAAAGTTGACTTCGGCCTCATTGAACATAGTGGGCCTAGATTATTTTTTACTTTCCAAAACTCGGAATTTATCAGCAGTCGCCAACCGATTACCAGAAAGGATACGTCCTGTGTTTCAGCAAGAAAAAGAGCCGCCGCCTTCTCTGAGATATTAAGTTGCCTTGAAATAAAGCTAATAAAGAACCTTTATGTTGGGGTTCCCGTACTCTCGACATGACATGATTTTGTTTGGACATATTCTTAGAACTAGAACACTGTACACAATATCGCAGCTTGAGTGCCGATTTCCATTCCATTCAATGCTATCTGACGTAACCTCTCGCTTTCTTTAGCTGGTACCAAAAATAATATGCATAGCCCGAACTGGTAGCAGGTAGAACTCAAAGAGTTTATTGTTATTTAAAGCTACCATTTCCCTAAATTTCAGAATTACCGGAAATGCAGAGTGTTAAAGTCTGAAATTCTTATTTTATTCTTTATTCTTACCAAGATTATTTAATAACAATGACCCCAAATTTAACGTGTCTTAAGCGATATGACCAAAACGATCACCATTCACTTGTACCCATTGCAAGAAGCAACGTCTTTTGCCTGAGATTCAAAATCACTTCTTATGAGCGAACCGCCTAGTAATTTTGAAAAATATTTAAATAATGTTTACCTGTCAAGACTTAAACCTTTGTAGAGTATATCCAGATCTTCCCCAGTAGTAAGAGAAATCAGTTTTGAGAATTTGTACTTGTAGATTCATCTACAGGCTAATTTTCAGTCACGTTAAAATTGAGGTACAAGCTATACAAAGAATTGAACTCTTGAAATGAAATATTGTCCATGCTTTTGTTTGACTTACATCGACGTGTCCTGCAATTTCTTGGGTACTTCTTAATATAAAATKTCTTACAAATCCCCGTGAAAACATCCTCMAAAAAAAGTGGACTTGGAGAAGTCTAGAGGGCGCMATGAAGAACGAAATAGATTATGTCCTCACCACAGATAAACARTTTTGCACCGCTGTATCGGTTCTCAGTATCTTTAATACCGGAAGTGGCGACAGAATCGTAAGAGCAGCAATAAATATAGACACACTWGCAAAGGAAAAAACAAATGCAGAAAATCATTTGGCCCACGCTACACAACTTCAAGAGAAAATAGACGAGTACAACGCAYAAACCAACAGAAAATTGATACTAACAGAAGCTGAGAAAATATGAAAAGGATGTTCCATGAAAGCAGGCGCTGATACGCAACTCAGCCAGAACACCAATGATCTACTGCCAGAACGCAGAACAATGGACAGTGTTTCAGCAAGATTTCAAACGCTGGATAGAGAAGTAAAGAACGCAATTAGAAAGGATCTGAGGTCAATAACACACAAACAATAAACGAAGCTATCGAGAACAACATGAATATGAAAGTACTTACAAAGTACTATAAAAGGGAAGTTGATCAAGAACCAACAAGGAGAAGTTGTTACAGAGAGGCAGTAAAGAACATCCGCCATCCAACATTTCTACAAGGAACTGTACAGCCATCCGGTACCTAAACCAAACCGATCGAAAATTCTAAAAAAAGTAGTCCAAAATGTGAGATCCGAGAATAACCCAGAAATTGACACTGCAGGGTTAAGAAGGGCATTAAAACAGATGAAGAACCGGAAGGGCTCAGGAGAAGATTTCCTTACAATAGAAATGTTAAAATACAGAGGTAAAATTATAGGGAGAGCACTAACGATCCTTTTTAGCAGATGCTTGGAGGAAGGAAAATTTTCCGATACATGGAAAAAAGCCGTGGTGATAATCCTCTTTAAAAAGGGGGACCGAACTAACAAAGAGAACCACAGACCGATTAGCCTTCTAACGGTTTGGTATAGGCTCCTCAGCAAATTCATTACCAACAGCCTCAAAAATAAGTGAACAAAAATTATCATGCAGTGGAAACAACGACTAACAAAAATAAGTGTTGGCAGACCCCTGTTAAGATGGCGAGATGATATACAGAGACGCGCAGGAAAGGTCGGGATTCTTGCAGCACAGTGTAGATCAACATGGAAACAAATGGAAGAGGCCTATGCCCAGGAGTGGACTCAAACGGACCGAAGAAGAAGAATAAGACATAGGGTAAACATTGACCTTGTCAGGAGATAAGCGAGCCTGAATAACAACAGCCACGTAAGCATTGGGGGCGATTCTGGCCATCCATCCTCTACATTATGTTGTGGAGAAGGATGCTTGAATAGGACAACAGGAACGACTGAGGGACGTAAAACGGTGGCAGCGTTGAGGACAGGCATGAAAAGACCAGAGAGAAAACCCTCAGATTGGAATCATTTGATGAGAAGGGATGCCGTTCCGGAGGCCTCAGGGCCTCGTCTGGTATACGCACGATTCCAAAATGAGTAATAAAACAGGACTAGAAATCAATGGAGACATGGTTAACGCGAAAATGTGCCTATGGCTAAACAGGCACTCTACAACAATTAGGCAGATTTACTTGTCATCATGGTCTGCACAAAGGAGAATCTGAGAAGAAATTCCAGTGCAAATGCCGGATCTCTTCAAAACTTGAATACAGCGGATTCCCTGATTTGCGTACCGAGACACCGAAACATAACAGGGAATAAAAATGTGAATAAACTTGCCCGATCGGTCATGGCTGGAAAATTTCGTGAACATTTCAGCATCAACAATTAAAAAAAAAGACTAAAGAACACACGTTCAACATGTTCCATGCTGAATGGAAAACCATAATCGTCTCTAACCATCAGAGGTTTTGATTGGACGGCCAGAGGAAAACCAAAAAACTGTTAAATCTAGACAAAAAACAAGGCATTATTCAGTGACCACTGGCTATTCAAATACTGGATGCACAATATCGGAATTGCTGATCATATAATAGGTACATTCTGCGGAGAAGTGGAAAGGTGGCGGATACAACTATATACGTTACATGCAAGTGTATGGAGCGTGCAAGAAAAATACTTCTGCTTTTTGGCGACTTTCAGTCAAATGAGTTGGCACTTGAGTATGCGTATAGAGAAATTGTACGTGGACATTCCCAAAATGAAAATATTGGATAGGTATGGAAAAATACACTGTATGGAGCAGAAACTTGGAGTGTTGCAGACAGACAAAAGAAGAAAGCAGAAGCAGTTGAAATTGATGCCATTAGAAGATCCATGCGAATCTCACGAATAGACAGAATAAGGAACGACCATATAAAACAACAAATGGGAATTGAAGTTAGTTGATAGTTCAGGACATTGAAAAGAGACAACTTACCTGGTACGGTCTCGTAGAACGAAACCCAAATAGCAGGTGGCCAAGAAAAATACTATATTGGCAACCAACAGGTAGAAGAACCATACAAAAGTGCATGAGTGAAAGAAACATCTTACCAGAAGATTGCGACGATAGAAGAGGATGGAGATTAGGTGTCGAACAACGAAGGAAGACGTTCTAAACCGGCATGAATATATATGGAAAAATATTTACAATATTCCGCTAGCGAGCTAGTTTGACTACTGAAATAAACATCATGAAAAGAATATGTATAATTTGTATTTTTTCGGAAGGTCATTTCTAATGTATTCAAGGTCTTAACTTAACACACAAGTTTTATACAATAGCAAGTATTTTACTTATTAATTAATAATATTATATTAAGTTTTTTCTTTACAAAATCATATTTTTTTGCGATCATCAAGGACATTTAGTATAAATAAAATTGAAAGTTGAAAATGACCTTTTCCTAGTGCCCCTGCAAACTTTCCTTAATGTTCCCCGCTAGCTTAACACAGAATGTTAGCAAATAAAAAATCTGTCTAACTCCTAAAACAGGGTCAATGTCAAATGTTTTTCGCGAATCTCAATTTTTGTTTTAATGGAAATATTTCTACGAATACATTCACCGTCAGGCCTCATTGCGATTTTGAATCACCCTGTACACACCATGATAATTCTTAATTGGAACTTTCGCTAATAAAACGTTTATGGTGTGATGTGCGCTCTGTGTACTTTTAGAGCACGAATAGAAACAAAGTAGTAAATTGGTATTTTTATTGGTCACATGAAGTTTACATACTAAACATAATGCATCAGCTCAGATGACAAATAATTTAACGTTCCCTATCATTAGTTAACTAACATATATTTAGCAATGCGAAAAAAACTCATCCAGTTTTCACCGAGGAGATAATTTACAAACATTTTTATGAATTTCCTGTATTAATTTTGTATTCGCTACTGAAATTTTGAAATGATTTTCCTAATTTGTATTATTGTCTTAGCATAAGATGCCAAGGTATTTCTTCTGTGAACCAATGTGTTCGTGTCCGTTCGTGTACCCGATAGTGATGAAACTGAACACAAAAACGTGACTCACCTCACAGATGATGTCCGTAGTATTCGGCGGGATAATGAGCGTACTGATTGTGGAAAGCTGGATCTCCTGGCGGCCGATGCATCATTTGTTGGTCGCCCATCATATAACCCATCGTGCCATCAGGGCTGTAAGCTCCACTAGGACCTGCATGCGGAGAAAATACTATTAGTGGTGTAAGGCGCTGTTCTACAGCTTCAGGTATGGAAGGTAAACGTTCTTGCACCAAGACTTGTAATGCCATTAATATTTCAAAAGCCTTATGTCTATCTGAATTTTATATATTTTTCGCTTCTTTCGATGAACCATTATGTTGCAAGGAGACGGTAGAAATACGTCACACAACTCTTCGAAGCTGAGCGACAACATATCGATATTTAAAAATATATACGAAAATTTAACGGGAGGTTTGGGCCCGCATATCATTGAAAACAATATGGCGTCTGCACTAAATGCATTAAGGGACAAAAACGCGATGGGTCCAGGTCAACTGCCAGCGGAGGTACATCATCTATTGACCTTCGAAATTCTAAATGAGGAAATGAACAAGAAAAATGGAAAAAAATGAGAAAAAAAGCTAAGGAAGGCCTATGGCCAATTCTGGACGAAAAATTACTAGAACAAGAATATGAAATACGCTGACGACACAGTCGTCTTACCGGAACCACAAAAAGGCCTGTAAACGACTATTAATAAAATTCTCGCTGTAGCGAATTTGGACATGATCAACATTGAACATAAGCAAAACAACACAAGACAGTAGTAAGATATTCTTAAAAACTTACCCTATGAAAAGAGTAAAATAATACACATATTTAGGAACAACTCTTAATGAAATCAATGCCAGCTCCCAAGAAGGAGGAATCAGAATTGAACTTGCCAAAGAAACCTTGCATTTAAGTTATGGAAAACTTTATGGAACGAAACTCTAACTAGCGTAGAAGTAATGAGACGCGTGCATAGAAAACGTGAATGATCACAACAATCAACGAAAATAAACTGCTATATTCTGTATATCGAACATAAAATGTGACGAAGCCAATGCCCAATATCACAAGTTATCATGCATAAAGAAATCGAAGAAAAAACATCTATAGCACAAAAGCGAAACTAGGCTGAAAAACTTCCGGAAAGTTTATCGTTGTAATAATAGTGATTTATTTCGATTAGTGACCATTACCCACCTTCATAGTGGAGTAGCACCTAAAGAAGCAGAAGTGTGTACAAAGAGCAAAGTTCCTACTTAACCCTGGTAGTTTACTGGAAAGACATTGAAGATTGATCCAATGCAACTTTTACTTGAAATAGTGAGCCTTAGTAGGAAAATAAATAAATCACTTAACTCGATGAAGTGTAATATAGACACATTAGTTTTCATTGTCCGGGTGGAATTGTCGATTTTCAGTGCGCCTTAATGGCACTTGGATTATTAATGTCAGTCTATGTAAAAGTGTTCCTTCATTCGCTATCGATTCCAGTGCTTTTCTGTTCCTGCTGAAGACAGGCGAAGAGAAATGGAGGAAGCCATTGACCCTTGCGGGCCAATCCATCACGCGCGGCACACAATCGGCCGCCCTAACAGCCAGCAAGGGAGAGAAACTTGATAGAATTTCCTTCTCAAAAAGCCTCTCGGTGTATGGATTTAGCTAATTCAAGTTACGCAGATGTGTAATCTGGGTGATTAATTAACACCAGACGAAATGTATCGAATGACCAATGGAACCATTTAGTTGGCACAGGATTTTATTTCTTTTCGTACAATGTGCGCCAAAAAGTTGGTCTTTTATTTGATGGCTGCTCTGAAATGTTTTGTAGGGGTTAAGGATTAGCAATTTACTGCAGAAAGTCTATGAAGAAGCAGGGACTTTTGAAACAAATAATTAGCGATCGATTATTGAAATGGAAAGCTTTCTCAGAGCTTTTCGCCTTCTGAAAATCTCTGAGGAAAATTCGGAAATATTTATACCTTCAATTTTCGGCTTGATTTTGTTGAGTTGATGTGAGAAACTCGGAAGAACACAAAACCAAAGCGCATACAAGTAATAAACTTCACTGCCTTAAGAATACATGGACACCTTGTTAGTTCGCTGGATTTTCAAATTGCTTTTCACCCCGTTACTTTATGAGAGATTCAACAAACTGCGATTGAAAGAATTAAACATCAAATACAACAACAGCTTTGTGCATAAATAAAGCAACTAAAGAGCACAACAAAACTTCGAAATAAGTTGGAGTATGTTAAAAATATCAAGTGAAAGATTGTTCGAAGCGCAGAGGCTTGGCCTTGCCCTACGATAACGGCCCATATACAAGACTTTTCACTTACAATTCATATCGGCTCGATTGCTGGTATGGGATCGGCCCATATCTTTCGAAAAATGCATACAACAACGTTAAGCTTTAATGGAAATCACGATTCATTAAAAAAAATGAGATAAGTCGGTCGCGGCCTAGCAACGCCATGCCTCAAACTCATTTAGTTGCATTACCTCTCAGAATCAAACAAGGATATCTACTAAAATTTTAAATAATTCGAATAGCATTTTGATAGTTGTTAAGAACTTGATTTGTTTGTTCCAGCATGGGCTATTAATTTCAAAAAGTGAAGCTGGCGCATGGGTTTCGCACGCTTTGCCTGAATTAAATAACTTTTCTTTAAATCAATGAAATAAGATTTTACGATGAATATGTTTAACAACTTACTGCAAATATGCATTTCTAAAACACATCAGTTAAAGTAAAAGAAACTAAAGCAATCAGCAAAGTGCGAAGAAAAAAATTCTAAATGAAGAGTCAATTAGCACCGATTGGAATCTTTGATGGTTCAAGTGAATAATCAGAACATCTTGCAATTTGAATATATATAAACCCAGCAAATACACATTAATTGGCCAATCATGATAATTTGAAATCGAAGGAAGAGGGCCAGTCGCTAATGCGCTAATTGAGAAAGTTGTTCCAATAAATATCAGGGAGATAAGATGATAAGATTCTAGATGTCGCATATAAATACATTCTTCCGATCTCAATTAATACGTTCTTTAATTTGCTTTCAACAACGTTACCAATGAATCGGGAGCGACAAAAATGTTTTGAAATATAAGTCTATTTCCTGGACAATTACAAGGCGACTTGGTGCAAGGACAGTCAACAGTGTTGTATATCTATCGTCACGCTGATATGAATTCGAAATTGTCGATTCCATACAGCAAAACTGACAGAATTATAATTTTATCTCTCTAAGTATCTAATTTGATGAAACTCTGGTTTTGAATCACTGTGATATAATTACGGATAATAAATACACTGCAATAGCACGAGACATCATCAATAAGTCAGTCCAACCATTAACTGGACATATAACAGTTATGTGAAATATATCAAATTAAAATCTTTTGGTCTTTTAAATGGCCGATCTTATAAAGATATTGGAACAGTAATTGGCACAAAATGAAATGCCACATCAGAGAAATGACAAAGCCATTATCATTGCATTGTATGGCAGAAAGCTGACATGGCATCCGATCAAGATATAACTTTGCTTCGTTGCAATTCCTTTACGTTTTATTTGAAGGCCTATTAAGATGCCGATGAATAGAGAAAAGTTCATGCAAAATACTTTCATTTACTACACTACCAAGTTCACTTACCTGCTCGATTTGACTGATCGATCATTGGCTGTACTATTCTCCGCCTGGCGTTGATAAACCTGAAAAAAAGAAATTACGTAAATTTAAAAAGTTTCATTTACAGACGAAAAACTTCGAAAAAATGTGTTATAATAAGTAATAAAATAAAGTGATAAATTCCGTGATATATTCAATATAATAGACGCCTGGAACGACTGTGCTGATTAAGCACGCAAATTTATTCTACTCAGGAAATGAAAATCGCCGGCCAAAGTAAAACTGGCTACAGCAGAAGACGAGCACCGATTATGCGAGTGTTGAGGAAACAAGTCTTCGAAAAAGTCACGGAAAACCATGTACATTTTAGGCGCATATTTTGTTGGACCGTTTGAAGAAGGGCTCCATTGCACATCAAAATTTTATTTCAAAACAAAAACTGAAAACGATCAACACTGATGTTGCGAAGTGAGTTAATGGATCGAAATTGGGCAGTTCTGTTATGAAATAGTCAATTTTGTGCCTTTTCTGTATTTATTTGGGAATTTCAGGACGGAGCAAGTTGTCATAATCCTAACATGACCCTAAGTCTTTTCAGGTCAACCAGTTATCAACTAGAGTTGTTTTAAGTTTTGCATAGACACTATTTACTTTATTTTCTGGTCATTTATATCAATCAGTCCAGCAAGCTTAGTAGCTTGTTGCTTAGTAAAAGTCGCACAACCAAGCACCAAAGAAGGTACATATTCTTAAAACGTATGCTGGCTTGGGAGGAAGCTATTCAGGAAACATTTTAAACTTTTAAAAATATAAAGAAAAAAATGTTAGTATGAATGTCTTTTCATGCAATTTAATGTTGACGTTAAATTTTATATTTTTCAAAAATTAACAGATGCGGGGGCCGCTTAATCTTGTTTATATGCCATTTTGTAGAAGTACTAGAAAATTACGATAAGTATGAGATATCAAACGTCGCGGAAACGCGTCTTTGAAGATTTCCATTGAAGGGGTTGAAGTGACCATTTTGCTGCAAATAATATCGCGATCACTCTCTCTATCTGTTAGCTGAGGTAAAAAACACCATATTTGAATACCTTTCGCAAAAAACGGTCACCGGTCACCCATTTTCTTCGAAACAAGAAACCGGCAATCCTTGACGACAAAATTGCACATTGTCATACAGTAACTTTTAACGATTGCAAAGGTTTTTTATCCTCTTTTTTCTTCTTGTTAACATGACCATTCAAGCAAAAGTGAGTCTCATTCGACACAATATGTTGGATATTAGTCAAGTGTTCTTGTTCTAAACTTTAGGAATGCTTCAGTAAACTGGAGGATAATTATCTCTTGTCCTGATTGATAAATTTTTGTACGACTGCGGCAAGGGTTGCTTCAGGGAAGCTTTAAAATTAGAGAAAAGAAGAATCCGAAACTTTCGCGGAAATTAATTTTAATAAATTATCTTTTTACCATTACCATCATCTAATGAAAAATCCAAAGTCGAAGTATATTATTCTGCCCAAAAAATCACTCTATTTAATAATTGTATAAAGCGTATTGTTTTTCATCACTGATACGGAATTGTTTTGATCCTGTAATTGTAGAACTTGGGAGCGATTTCTTCGAAACCAGTGCACCACACCTATTTTGCACTTTTTCTACAACCGAACTAAAAACTTATCAACTTCACTTTTGTTCGCTGACCAAGACAATCCTACCTTAAAAATTTGAATTTGTTTTTAAAGGTTGAACCTGAGCCGCTTTGGATTAGGCCTGGGTAACACTGTGTTGAGTTGCGCTATTGAGTTGTTGCCGATCTCTGAGTTAACGAGTTAAAACTTATCGGTTAATGAGTTATAAGTAATTTATTAAAGCTTTACAAGACCTGAGATTAGAATTTTCACATCTAAAAAAAGGTCATTAACGTTTTTTCAGAGTAACGTTTTACTACTTTGTTCAAAAAGGTTTTCAAAAGGTCCCTGTGCAAACCGATCACTGAGGCGAATTTTTTAGCCTAATCAATTTTGTATATTTTGGCTGCAAAGGCTCCATTATTGTCAGAAAAGAAGAAAGTCATCAGAAAATAACGTTTTTTTTGTGTGCGTATTCGATTAAAAACTTAGTTTTGTGATCAGTTTTAGAGAAAACCTGGGTTTCAGAAAAAAACGGGAGGAATATAATTTCATTTTTGTTCCGAATTCGACGTTGAGAAAAGTTTTTGTAAAATTTTTACAAAGCTATACATTTATCTTGTAATTTTTTGCGTAAAACACCTCCAGATCGTCAGTATTTTTAAGTACATCTCTATAAAATAGAGCGTGTTTGAGTAGAAAGTAAAACAAAATTCAGTCAAAACTAAAAAACCAAATTTGTAACAAACTTTGTAGTCTTCAGGGGTATAGAGCTGTCGAGATTTCCAAATAATCTGTTCTAAACTTTTGCTTATTCTGTTATATTATTTGATTTTTGTTTCAAATTTGAAGCTGGAAAGGGATTTTAAAACTTTTTGCAAAGTGACGAATCGAAATTTATTTCATAATTTTTCACGGAAAGTACCTTAAGATTGTCAGCATTTTTAAGTGAAGCTTTAGAAAATTGAACAGTTTGAAGAAAGGGTAACTTGCCTAAAACTGAAAAATTCTGAAATTTTGATAAAATTTTAAACATCTTATTAAGAAATGATCCTGAAAATAAATCTATAAACAAGTAAACAAATTGAGTTACTGCGCCGGTGCGTTGGATTAGAGCAAATTTCGTAGCACTGCGCGAACTCCTAAAAATTCACTGATGTACCCAGGCCCACCTTAAATGAATGCTGCATAAATGAAGCAGATTAATTCGCGTCAAATCCCAATTACATATTTCACGTGAAGCATGTGGTTCCCATGCAACAATTGCGCCAAAGAATAAATCAAATTTCCAGTAAAATATTGGAAACATCGCGAGTGTAAATATTTCATTTTTGCACGGATATTTTTGCAATATTGTAAGCGGCAACAAATTTGACGATCGGTCGCCACTGAGAGAAACTGATACACACAATTCGTGTTGCTTTTACATGCACGCATCCAATATCGGAAACGCGTCCAATCGGGCGGCAGAAAACCCAATCATTTCCGGTGTCAGGACGCATTAGTTGCAGCGTTATTTTGATGCTCGGTGACAGCTCAGCCGACGCCATGCCGATGCTGCTCTAATCTCGCTTTATATTTTACAGTTCTGTTTCGAGAGGTTTGCTGCAGCCCGTTTTAAAAATAACCTGGAGTTTCGTCTTTAATCAGCCTCAAATAGTCCCGTCAATAACCAACAGGAACAACAATGTTAATTTTAGAAAAGAAATCTTTTCGGGGTTCTGTTCGAATTGGGATTTCTTGAGTGTCTATCAAGTTTACTCTGCTCTTGTCTTAGTTAACTGGGGTTGTTCACACTTCACATCAGTAGTGTTGGAACATTGATAATGTGACTTGTTAGCTGGAAAAAAGGTGATTCACTTCTTTTAGACAAATACATGAAGTTGGCAAACAACCTAATTAATAGTATTTTAATTCTCCAAATTTCCATTATTAAACTTTGGTATGCAAGAGTGGCATCCACCTTTGCCTTCAGTAAGCATGGTATCGCTCAACACTTTTTAAACGTGCGTGAATCTTATTTTTAATACAGGAGTAGTGTTATTAATATAAGTCAAAGTGCCTTACACTGATTATTAACTGAGATATAGTGATCCACCTTCACCAGCAAAGTAAAAATGTAGATCAGTAAACAATCACTAACTCTTTTGAAGCTACTGTGAGTATACAGTCAGCTATTTGTCATCCTTTGATCCATTGGAATCTGAGGGTTTCAAAATATTTAAATGTTTGCCGATTGACATTCACTTACTGCTTATTACCCTTTCTTATATTCAATGTTCTTCAGATAATTGATGCTTCAAAAATTTCAAAACAATGTTACAACAAAGCAGAACCTAATCAAATTAATAGGGCAAGCCAGAACCAGGCCGTTGGTTCAGGCTCATTAAAGCGTTTCTTGCTCGTTTTAGTTTATTTTATTAGTTTCTCTTCCAAAAATCAATTTGCCAAAATTATATAGTTCAGAAACCACTTCACAAATACATGCAAGGTTCTCATATATAATAGAACTCAAGAAATTCTACAAATGTTCGTATTGGAAATCAGGCGTGGAACGCTATTTGAAGGCAAAGGTAGACGTCACCTTGGATGTGCAAATGTGTAACTTTTCCCTTTAAGAAGAATAGTGGTGTCTATAGGACCACCCATATAGAACACCCACAAACTTACGCTCAGGATTGTGCAAAACTCATATTCAATTTACATGTAATTCTATTGTTATAAGTCAAAGTGTGTTATTATACTTTTTTGACCGAGATGCACACCAACTTTTCCTTAAGCAAAACTAAAAGTTGAGAAAATCCTGTACGCAGCAAATGCTATACACTTGAGCTGTCGGTACTGCTTTCGCAACTGTACAGCAGGAACCAATTGCATCACTGTTACTTGCCTTTGGTCCTTCGAGCCGGATATTCCATATTCATATTAAAACTTGTAAGCAAATTTCTACTTGTTGGAAATCTGACAGTCAGTCAGTATTTTCTCATCAATCTCTCAGGAAGAAGTAAACTTTCTTCTCAATCTCTCAAGAAGAAGGTTTGTAAAGTACATACTTTTCTTTAGAAACCAAATATGTACATAAAATAATGTTAACAACTACTAATAAAATTTCTAATGTTGTTATTGAAAGCTCACAGGTTCTCAAACAAACTGGTGCAGAGTTTATGATGTATTTAGAGCTATACTTTTAAATGAGTATGACTTAACTGACGTGCAAAAGTTAATTTACTGAACATATTTCAACTTTGAACCTTCGTCATTCAGTCTGATTGAACATTTACCATTAATAGGAAGTAATTTAGACGTGGCTATAAATACTCAAAACTAGTTAGAAACATCAGATATCAAAGGACTGATAAAATCTGCGGAAATTCATAGTAACAATTGAACTGTTAACATTCTTCTTGATCAAAAATTTTAAGTGTCCTAGTTATAGTCACAGAACGATCCTA